TATTTTAAAGGTCTAGTCATTATCTTAATCACTTGGTGCCCCCTTATTGGCTGGTGCCCCAGGGTACTCGCCCAATCCCGTCTATGGATAATCCGGCCCTGACTAAATAGCTAACTTCCCACATTTACACAACAATTTTGTGTAAGTAGTTTTTGTTTTAAGCATTTCTATGTGTATTGTTTTGTGAATCAATTCCATATGATATAGCGTATACTGTAAAGGCTGCTGCTTTTTGCAACATGGTGCAGTTAAAGACTATATTTGACTTGACAGCAAATTCACTGGTTGGAGTGTGAGCACTAAACCAGTTCATATGCAGAGTCAGTCAAAATGATCACACACATAGTTAAAAAATAGAATATTGCAAAGACAAAGTAAAATAAACAGACTTTATCATTTTAAGGTTCAAAGAGAGGGAAGAAAATGCTTATGAAAACTAAAATGTGACAGGTTTTAAGTAGATCTCAGGGGGAAAATATGAAAATAAAGACCATTTTAAATAATTAAAACAAAACAACAACACCACCACCAAAAATGTTACACACTGCAGTGGAAATTTTGCTTCCTAAACTTTGTGGCTAGCACACTTCTAGTATGAGTGAATGGTAGATAACCCGGTGTCACAAATGCAGTAGGACAGAATGAATGATTTCAGTATCTCCATTATCTCAGAGACACAGACAGACAGGGAAGAAATTTTAATAAGCACTTTCAATGTTGTCTCTGAGAAACCTGTCCAGTCAACAGATTTGGCCTCAGTACGCCACAAAAGCCAATGACTGAAGAGCGAGAAAGAGATAAAGGTGACTTCGGTGAGCGTAACATCAAAAACAGCTTTTCGAGGCGAGTTGCATCTCAAGGGGAAATATCAATCCACTGGCCTGTTAACTCTTTCTGTTCATCCAGCTCAAACCTGCACTGCAGTTCTGTGAGTGACTAGGTATCAAAGTACTTGTTTATTCTCATGATTAGTACCACATTTTTTTAAAAATAGAACATTAAATATAAGAAATAAATGAAATACAAATAAATTGAGGTATAGCAAACAGTATAGTACACTGATAATAAAAAGAAATTTTTCTTAAGCACCAAATGTTAGAAAGATTTGACACTGTGACACTGTGACAATCATGTGACACTGACGACTGGAGTAATGATGCTGAAAATTCAGTTTTGCATCACAGAAATAAATTACATTTAAAATATATCAAAATAGAGAAATATTTTTTTATACTGTAATTAATTAATTAATTTGTTTATTTGTAATATTAAATGCAAATAAATGCAGCCATAGTGAAAATTAAAGACTTCTTTCAAAAAGCTTTTGAACGGTGGTGTAGACAGAAAATGATTAATCGAGATGCTTTTTGCCCACAAATTGTTGCATTTACAGCATCTTTCAGCAGGGTCTGTTTGATATATCATGCTAAATAGCATAATTGCACTGGTGTATATCAGTTTCCATCAGTTCCATCTCTGGCATAGCCTTAATTGAAGAAAGAAACAGTTGCTGCCTATTGAATATCTATTTTGTCACAATTTCAATTAGAAGCTGGAATGAGTGACGCTGCTCAATATGTCCAGCTGGCCTAAAGCCAAATCTAATGGGACAGCAGTAAAAACACAGCATTATGAAAACGATTAGGTCAGTCCAATTTAAAAACATGTCCATACATTTATAGTAGCAATTACTTTTTGAGAGTATATATTTATTAACATTAATTCCAAAGTATATTCGGAAAAACATGAGTTTGGTTCATTTTCCTTCTTGGATTTCTCTGTCCTCACCAAGCCAAAAATAAACAAATGGCACTGTTATTATGACAGCCAATCAATGGCACCTGGGAAAAGAGTTTTCCTTCTGCATCTCCTATATGTAGTTGGTACTGTTGCTTTGGAAACTGTGTTGTGGCTTTGTGTCGTAGCCCCGCGTGAACATATCTCCACAGGATGCAAAAAACACAGCGATTAGCGACACACTGCGCCTTGCTCCCCACACCTCCTTACCACATACGGACTCAAAATGCTCCAAGCATTTCACCACAGGAGTCAACCACCTCCTGAGCTCACAGCGTCTCCAACGTATCGTCAAGACATTTCTCCAAAAATACATTTGGATAGGGCCACCTTCAGAACAGCTGGAGTGTAGAGACATTAGGTCTGTACTGTTTAGCCTCCGGTGCTTTGTATCCCACCAAGATAAAGCCTTGCAATACACAAAGTGCTTGTAAAGGTGAATTGTTTTATTTTCTGGTTACAATTCACAACAAGGTTCCATTTGTTAACTGCATTAGTTAACATGAGCTAACAATAGAAAATACTTCTAAAGCATTTATTAGGCTTACTTAACCCTTGTGCTGTGCTGAAAATCCTATACCTAATTTGATGTTCCTGGACAAAAATGACTGGCCTTTTAAAATTTGCTTGTAAATCTGTCATTATGCATTAACCAAATCCTGGATTCAAACTTTTTGTCTTGTCTTATTTTCTTTCAATTAGCACAGGTTTGTATTTCTTTTTGGGACTGACTGATCATAGGCCTCATTGATCTGAGCTTATGTGCATCAGTTTTTGAAAGAAAAAACATTATTTTGATATAGATTATTTTGGCAATATTCACTCAAAAACTGAGGTGCATACATTCAGATCAATCTATGATCAATCAGTTCCAAAAAGGAATACAAACATGTGCTAACTGAAAGAAAACAAGTTGATAAAATAACTGAATCCAATATTTGGCAATAATATAGCATGATGAGAATTTTTTAAGCGATTCTTTTTGTAGGTTGTTTATTTATGGGAAAATAATCCCCAAAAAGCAGTATAAAATTTAGTTCAATGTGTATTAATGTTAATTTCAACATTTACTAAAGCATCATTAAAGTCAAAAGCTGTATCTGTTAATATTATTTAATGGATCTAGTTGTATACAGTTGTATTTTTATTAACTAACATTAACAAAGATGAATAAACAACATATGTATTGTTCATTGCGTCTAGGTTTATTCTACGATAACAAACGGCTGCATGTACATCATCCTTTACTTTACTGACGGAACCTTATTGTAAAGTCTTACAGGTTATCTCTTAATAATGTTTGGTCTCCACAGACAGATTTGAATTAGTTATTCAAAAGGTTTATCATAAAATATAATTATTACATGCATAAAATAAACCTTTACTTACACCGTATGTCCGGTTTTCAAAATCCAAATTTTTTTTTCTGAAGCAGGTATTATTTGGCATAATTAATAACTGTTAGATCAGTGCTGTATTTGTGTGGCCTCTCTGATTTCTGGCCTCCATTTCCATTAGCTGCATTTTTCTGGAGGACTAAATGAATGCAATATGTCATTATCAAGAGGGGCATGGACCATATTTTCCAGCAGTGTTGTGGAGAAAAACATGTTTGTATAATACTGCAGTCAGATATTCTAGGCAGAAATGTGTGATTACTTCCTCCCCAAATTCAGCTTGACATCCGTGGGCAGAGGTTCAGTCAACTGATTTTCATCAGTTATGTAGACACCGGGCAGACAGTTACATAACCAAAAGAAAGAGAATTTAAATCATTTATCCTGGGTTGATTTCTGTGGATGGGCTTGTCTCACGAATGCTAAGAGTGGATTTTATAAACGGCATATGGAAATGTTTTTAACAGTGCCCAGATAATAAGAAACACTACAAATTGTGCATGTCTTTTTGATTGTTATTTGTGAATCAGCTTGCACTAATATTCTGGGCTTATAAATATTGCAATTATGTTGCCATATATACATATTGCCCAGCTTGATTTTTTTAATTATTGTTTTCCTTGTGTAAAAGAAGGTTATTTGTTAAAATGCAAAAAAACATCTTATTAATTAAAATTATATGACAATAAAGTTAAATATAAAGTTAAATATAAGATTTCATGCTTAAGCCCCACACTGACAGTGATTACATCACTGGTTTGTGTCAGTGTATCCAAATGTATCAGGCAATGTCTGCACTCCTAGTTGTTGCATCGTTGCTCATTTGTTGATGTAAATCACTGTCAGCGTGAAATATACTTTACTACTGAATCTCCTAGTGGCTGAAGTTGGCACTACATGATAATTTTCAAGATACAGACACTGACTGTCTTGAAAATTACCCCATTCCCTTATATAGTGGACTATTTGAGTGGTGTCCGAAACCATGCTATCAAGTGCACTCATTCAATCCCATAATGCACCTCAATAAAGACGTACACTCAATGGCTAGCCACTAGAAAACACCCACGCACTACAAGCATCATGCGGAACAATTTCCTTTCTTGTGAGGAGATACCATTCGTAACAATTCCAGTGCACGCAATGTCCAAATTCACTCATTCAGTGGACTATATTAGTGGAGTAATGTATGGAATATTTAATGAAGGTATGGGGGCAATTTCGGATACACCGATGCCCCTTTTCTGTTAGCGCTCCTAGTGGACAGAGTCGCCACTGCATTGTAAATGTTATCCAGCAAATTAAATTATTTTTATGCAAAAAAAACACAAACTAAATGAAGAAAACATAGGAAAAAAACAAGCAAAAAATGTTCAGAATAATAATAAAAAATATATATAACAAAAATAAAAACGGTGGATAAAATAAAATATAACAATATAACAAAATGAAATAATAATAACATAGATAATAAAAAATACGGAAAAATATAACAAAAACAGAAAAAAGGCACTAAAGCATTTTAATTTGTTTTTGCTTCCGTACCTTTAAGTACTAAAAATGCCTAAAATAGTAGGCTATACAATATTGGTTAGTTTACGATGATTCATAAAATCTCTCACCTTGATACCTTCACTGAGCACCAACAACACCCTGAGCGTCTTACTGAGGCAAACATCTCCTCAACCCTCCCCTGATCATTACAGCTGCACGAATGACAACATTTACCCATGTGCTTGCTATACTACCAAACCATTCGCTTTGTGCGAGACACCATGGACATCCACTCCGGAATGGGTTGTTTGTTTTAGTTTTCTAGGTCGCGGGCTCGTTCTGTAGCGTTACAACAGGCAGAATTAAATAAGTATCTGACTGGAACGCAGAAACAGCTCGAGAGCAAACACTCCGACGTGAGCGAGGACTAAAACTTTTCAAGAAGAGAGAGAAAAGATGTGCTTATAAGACATTAATCCGTCTTAACAGGTAATTATGCTTTATATATTTTATTTTTCTAACTGTCAGTTTAAATTCCTTCACATATCGCTGTATCAGTACGGCTGTACGCGCGCGCGTGTTATCTCATCCGCAGTAGCGGAGCTCGCATACTAACTAACATGCTGCAGTGAACTGACGGGATGTAATAGCCCATTTAAAGGCCTAAATAACAATAATTTTGACGAGTATTATTATTGGCACAACTCCACCGCTGTCTATATTTGCAGACTTTCTAGAGTAAATGCTGAACGAGACTTAGCCTAGGTTAAGCCGAAAAAGTCTTTTCCACATTTGTGTTTTTTTCGTTGAGATGAATTATGTTAATCTCGTTCTCTCTCATTTTGACAGTTTAAAGTTAAAATGTGTTCTAGTATGCGTTATGATACTAAGTAGGCAACTATTTTGCATGCATTAGTCATGCAATGTGAAGTTGACTGGGTGATGATAAGCATTTATTTTTTGTCTCAGTTAATCTGCTCTTTAGCTCTTGATGGTATTAGTTGTGAAGAATAGCTGCTTAAGGCGGCTTGTTTTGCATTAGTCATGCAATGTGAAGTTGACTGGGTGATGATAAGCATTTCTTTTTTGTCTCAGTTAATCTGCTCTTTAGCTCTTGATGGTATTAGTTGTGAAGAATAGCTGCTTAAGGCGGCTTGTTTTGTTTAAATCTCTGGTGGTCAGTTGCCTTAGTAAAAGCTTTATTTATCACCACCTTTGACACATCCATCATGTTGGAGCTTCACTTGGGAAAGTGCTGTTTCTTAAAGGGATAGTTCACATAAAAAGTCTGTCATTATTTATTTACACACCCCAATGTCATTATAAACCTGTATTTTGAAGAATGCTCTGCTGGGACATTTTCCACATAGTGATGGCGCATAAAGGTTTTCATTTTATGGTTATATCCTTATCTGTAAATGTATTTCCATCTTGCATTAAGGCTTGTCCTGACTGCACGCAACATACATTTTGCAAAAATGTTCTATATTAAATGTAGGTTGTTGGAGATTAAATACATGTTTAAAATTCTAGTAAGATAGGTGAGTGTGTGTTATTTTGGTATTACTTATATACTAATTTATTTTTATTAATATTTTGAATTGGCTTTAATTTTATACGTTCAGTTTTCATTTAAATGTTTGTAAATTTTTTAGTAATTGATGCTTTTGTGATTTTATTATTATTTTTTATATTACTAGTTAGGTTTATTTTATTTTTTATGTTAGTTTTAGATCAGTTTTAGTTTTTATTTATTTTATTTCCAGATAGTAATTTTAGAGCTTCAACTTGGACTAAATAAAAATTAGAACTGAAATAAGTTTTGGTTATTCCTCTAATATTTATATTATATTTTATTTCAGATATATTTGAATTAACAAAAAATGTTTTGATATAGTTTTAGGGTAACACTTTATTTCAATAGTCCACTTTAGACATTCTGTTAACAGTAAGTAACTTTGCAACTACTGTCAACTAGCAGTTAGTAGAGTATTAGTAGACAACTTATTCTACTAACCCTAAACCTAGTCTACTCTGAGAGTTAGTAGACATGTAGTTGCAAATTAATGAGAATTAGTTGACATGTAGTTGACATGTAGTTACAAAGTTACTTATAGTTAAAAGAATGTCTAAAGTGGACTATTGAAATAAAGTGTAACCAGTTTTGGTTAACAATAACTGTGTAGTTAACATTTCTCTGTGTTTGTGTTTTTTAATAATTTTTTAATTTAGTGATTTGAGCTACTGCTTTAAAATGGTAACCAATCAGCAGTTGTTGGACACGCGACACGTTCAGAATTAATAAACTTTTAATAAACTACAGAACAGCGCGAGCCGGAAGCGGCGCGCCTCACGCGGGCAGGGCTTATATGCTCCAAGAACGGACACTGCAGTAGTGATACAAAACACACAGGTCTGAAAAGAGCAATACTTTTAATATAGACAAATTATTATTAGGCTGGGCTACTGTACGTTTTTTTATGACTGCCGTATTCGCAAGTATTTTCCAAGCAAATTAAATGCATGTTTTTATCATGTGTAAAATTACTGATTAACATGGCGAATAAAAGTAGCTCGTTTTTTTACACCAACAATATACTATATATAATAAATATAATATACTACTTACAGAACTTTTACAGATTTTTCAAACTTGATGTGCTGTTGTGGTAGGCCAGTTTCAAATCGCATAATTAGCACACTGCCTTTGTCTTGTCCTCACTCAATTTAAAGTGCTCCCACACAGCTGAGGTCTTCGGCATTTTTGTCTTCTCTTCCAGGTGAACTGAATCATGATGTTCACTCATGGGCGATTCATATTCAAGTGCGAATGAGAACCGTTTCGCGGGGGATGCCAGGTGTTGAAAAAAAAAAGAAAAGAAAGAATATTCGAATCTCAAAATTGAAAATCGAATGCCAACCCACCGAACGAATATTCGAATAATCGAATAT